CCTAAGCTTCAGAACGTCTAGTCTGGGATTTGAACCAGGGCTATCTACTCCGTAGTTCAGCATGATACCAACTGAAGCAACGGAATGCCTTGTCCTGCCTCTCATGAAAGAAAAAAAAAGAAACCCACCTTTCTTATTGAAGATGAAGGTAAATAATTATTTCAAGCCCCAGGTAAATTGATGCATTGTGTAGGAAATTCTTCTTCTTCTTCCTTGTTCTCGATGACAGCAGCTAGAGAGTCACTCCGATGTCGCGCACAAACTGTGCAGTCCGCTCATAGATTTACGCTACTGTTTAAAAAGGAGATACCGTCACTCTATGAGTCCGCTTCAAACCTGAGAGACTGCCATAGAGCTTTCTCTCAAGGGGAGTCACATTCTGCCACGTCTGTGTACAAAGGGTGGCGTAGCGCGAGCAGTGCTGAAGGATAAGGTTGGCATCCTCTAGGTCGTGTCCACATGTGCAAATCGCAGACTCTCCCACTTTTAATTTGGTATGCATATTATGATGTTTGAGTCTGTTGTGGCCACAACGGAGTCGAACAATTGCGACCTGGTCTGCTCTATTTAGCCTGTAGTAGGGGTCATGTCTGTTGTGATTAGGGTGCGATCTTTTCCATCTGTTTCTTATAGGCAGATTTTATTAGCGATGTGTAGGAAATAAAACACAAAACAATATCGAGATCTTGTCTGGACAGAGGAAAACATAGATGCGGAGTCTACAAAACGCACTAAGCACACCCACAAGAGAAGAAGTACAGCATAACGTGAGAAATGCAAAACCTGACTCCCACATGTCTTGGTTATAGTACGTTCTTACAATATGTGGGGATATTATTCACTTTCACATACATACTGCCTGATGTCAGCCAACCGTTCAGAGATGTACAAAGCCAACAATTTTGAAATTTAACCCCCCCCCCCAAAAAAAAATAAAAAATGAATGCAGTTCAGTTTCGTAATCTGTGGTAGATCTAATGGTTTCATGTGCTCAAGACATTTTTTAACATTTTGTCTGAATTCAAATTCTAAATCTAAAAAAAAAAAA